CTTGAGAACACCCACATATATAGCTACTAGGTCCGGTGAGCTTGATGGTAGAAGTAGCAGAAGGTTTGGTGTGAACGATGACGAGCTTGAACAAGGCACTGTCAACTGGAGGAACAAAGAAGTGATCAAGCGTCCACTCCAGTGCATAGCCGCTATACTCCCTGTTGTTGATAGCGATAATCATCACTTGCTTCGCTGTTTAAAAAAACCTAGAGGCTGGGTTTGCAGAGGTTAGGGAAAGGGAAAGGGAAAGGTAAAGGTAAAGGAGAGAGAAAGTGAAAGAGGAAAAAAAGATGACGTGGATGGAAAAAAAAAAGATCATTATTTCACTACAAGAATACACAGAATTACCAATGAAACCTCATGTCGGAAATCAGAAGTGAGCTTATCGGTAAATAAATTTTCCAACTTATACTTTGTCGGTAATGTACTTGTCGGTGTTGGCTTCCTCGGTAATTACTTCACCGATGTGAGATGAAGTTACGTCGGTAATTTGGTCCAAATTACCGACAAAACACATGTCTCAAACTAACTACCGGAACCGTACTACCAGAGCTTTTCACGTAAGTCAAGTTGTCAATTACCGACGAGCTTCACGTCTCTAGCTGTAGACCTCATTTACTTCACCCCTGTGTTACCTTGTTTATTGCATCCTCGTTTGTTGCAGCTGGTCAACTCATGTCAGTAAATTACCGACAAATAATTAATCGAAAACGTGATTTAGATATTTGTAAATTTCTTGCCGATTTACAAGAATTAATTGGTTTAGATAGCATTTACCGACAAAGTTCCAATCGACAATAAGCAAGAAGCAAAAAAAAAAAATTAGCATTTTACCGACAAAGCTCCAATCGGTAATGTGGTTTAGGAATTGAAAAAAAAAAGAAATTTACAGCATTCCCCTTTTCTGCCATTCCCCTTTCTACAATCGAGGAAGAAATAAATTAATATATAATTTAATTAAAACAAAAAAACTGTTAATATGAAATAATAATATTATTAGTCATTCAACACATAAGCAATAAAATATATGTACACATTTAATAATGAATGTCCTCCAAACCAAAAAGATTATGGGATGATTAATCTTAATTTATAATGGTTAATATTATAAA